CTTCTCTCTGAAGTTTGATAGTCTGTTCGATGCTTCTATGTCTCTGGCTCTATTTTTGTTCATCAGTTTATGTTATTCATTAAATTGCACAAATGAGTGAGATCATGCCTTATTTTGCTTAGCATAATGCTCTAATGCTCTCCATGTCCATCCATGCTGTTGCAAATGGTAAGGGTTCTTTCTTTTTAATAGCAGCATAGTATTCCATTGTCTAGATATACTACAGTTTTTTAATCACCTCATCTGCAGATGGGCACTTAGGCTGTTTCTAAATCTTAGCTATTATAAATTGTGCTGCTATGAACATATATCCTTTCTGGTTGGTATTTCTGTTTTCTTGGGATATATTCCTAGAAGTGGGATTACTGGGTCAAATGGGAGTTCCATTTTTAATTTTTTGAAGAAACTTCATACCAGTCTGCATTCCCTCCAGCAATGTACAAGGGTTCCTTTTTCTCCACATCCTCACCAGCACTTGTCATTTGTTGATTTGTTGATGATAGCCATTCTGACAGGTGTGAGATGGTACCTCATTATTGTTTTGATTTGCATCTCTTGGATGATTAGTGACTTTGAGCATGTTTTCATGTGTCTTTTGGCTTTCTGCATATACACTTTGGAAAAGTGTCTATTTATGTCCTTTGCCCATTTTTTTGATTGGATTGTTTAACTTCCTTTTGTTAAGATGTATGAGTTCCCCAGTCTGCATTCCCACCAGCAATGTACAAGGGTTCCTTTTTCTCCACATCCTCACCAGCACTTGTCATTTGTTGATTTGTTGATGATAGCCATTCTGACAGGTGTGAGATGGTACCTCATTATTGTTTTGATTTGCATCTCTTGGATGATTAGTGACTTTGAGCATGTTTTCATGTGTCTTTTGGCTTTCTGCATATACACTTTGGAAAAGTGTCTATTTATGTCCTTTGCCCATTTTTTTGATTGGATTGTTTACCTTCCTTTTGTTAAGATGTATGAGTTCCCTATAAATTTTGGAGATTAGGCCCTAATCAGATATAACATTGGCAAATATGTTCTCCTATGCAGTGGGCATTCTTGTTGTTTTGTTGATCATTTCGTTTGCTCTGCAGAAGCTTTTTATTTTGATGTAGTCCCATTTGTTTATTTTCTCCTTAGGTTTCATTGCCCTAGGAGCTGTGTCTGTAAAGATATTGCTATGACATATGTCTGATATTTTGCTGCCTATGGATTTTTCTAAGATTTTTATGGTTTCCCAACTTATGTTTAAGTCCTTTATCCATTTTGAGTCTATTTTTTGTTGATGGTGTAAGTTGGTGGTCTAGTTTCATTTTTTGCATATATCTGTCCAATTTTTCCAACACCATTTATTGAAGAGACTGTCTTGACTCCATTGTTTTCTCTTGCCTCCTTTGTCAAATATTAATTGAGCATAATAGCTTGGGTCGATTTCAGAATTCTCTGTTTTGTTCCATTGGTCTATATATCTGTTCTTGTGCCAGTACCAGGCAGTTTTGAGAACCGTTACTTGGTAATATAGCTTGATATCTGGTATTGTGCTCTCTCCAACTTTGTTCTTCTTTCTCAAGATTGCTGTGGCTATTCGGGGTCTTTTTTTAATCCATACGAACTTTTGGAGAGTTTGTTCTAGGTCTGTGAAATATGCTGTTGGTAT